ATTTCTGGGCCAGGTTATAGATGGGTGGGTCAGTCTTCAGGGAATGCATCCGAAGTAGCATCAAACACATTAGGAAGACCAGATCAAGCATGGATGGCTAGGCCAATTGTAATTAAAGCTAGCCAGATGCCCCTATTCGGGTGGGATTTCAGAGGTGTTGTTTTCTTTTAAAGGCTGCAAAACAGGACATGGAGGTCTGAAACTTCTCAGGAGAGATTTCTCCTGAAACCCTCTGTCCTTATCTCCAAAACAAGACTTGCCCAGAGGAACAAGAAACAAATGCTTTTCCTTCTGGCTTTGTAGCCTTTGGGACCAGCTCTGTTGATAGGCTCTTAAGTTAGATCTTCCTCTTCTCTCAGCTTCAGGTCCATGGAACAAACTGGGTACCCTCATTTTAGGTAAAAAACTGACCCTAGCCCCCTTGGGAAGCCCTGGAGACTGATGGTGAGGGGAACCTTTCTCTGCTCTATGGCTCATGCTATCCCCAAGTGTTTCTCTGCCCCAATGTGTCCCTTAAGCCCCTAACCCTTAAAATTCAGGTCCACCTTGAGACAAATTACTTCTGTGGGGTTTGCCTGGGCATCAGGGTCAGAACAGGACCTTCATTTCTTTTAGATTCAGGTCAAAATGATAGGGTTTTCTGTCCTTTGGGACTAGAGGTATTCAGAATTCTCCACTCCCTTGCTTTTTGTCTGGGTCCAAGTTCAAATTCTGTGTCCTGTGCCCACCCTCAGCACAGTCCATTCCCAGCTGCCCCCCTTACCCTGAAGCTTTAGTCCAAGGGCAGCCTTTCTCCCTCAAGTTAAACTCCCATGGGTGCTGCCGCCAGCCTGGTTGCCTGGGAAACAGCTTCTGCGGTGCACGATGAGCAGCCTGCCCGTGGGTAGCCACTGTCTCGCCTCCACCAACATCTCAGTTTGCTTTCTTTTTTTTTTTTTTTTTTTTTGGTAAAGTGGGGCAAGGTGGAGAGTGAGAAGTGGGTGGCATGACTGGCAGGTGGAGGGTGGGGGGATGTTGATACTGTGAGCTCCCTGTCTGATCCACCCAGCTGGGCAGCCTGCAAGGACAGCCCACCCAGATGCTCTAGGCAGGGGAGAATCTGGAGTTTCTGATCTCCCACAGTGGCATATCCCTGACTCCCATGCTTATTCTGGATCCTGAACTTAGGAGGAAAACCCCTTCTGTCTTAGAGCAGGGGAAATTGCCCTAGGCCTGGCCTTAGCTTGATCATACACTGGTAGAAAAGGTTAGGATGGAGGGCTTTGATGAACTTTTAGACCCCAAGCTATTAAGTAATTTTGAACAAGGAGGCCACAGTCCCCTTGTCTGGACCTCAGCTGCGGAGGAACCTGCATTCAATCAGGAGAATGGTGGAGTTCTGGAGTGCCCCAGTGCCTTGGTTGGATGCTTCAGTCTTTGCTTTAAAGTTCCTACATAATGCTACGCCTTCCCTAACAGAGAGGAAATGGACTAAAGATGTAGAATGAAATCTGTGCTTTTGGACATGACCAGTGTAGGACTTTATTTTGCTTGATTATGCATATTTGTTACAAGGGTTTTGTTTTTCTTTTAATAGAGAGGGGAAGATGTGGGAGAGAAAGAAGATAAATGCTTGTTAATTGAAAAAAAATTTTAATTGGAAACAACGAGAAAATATGAAGTTTCTAGCTAAGTCTGAATAGAAAATGGGACTATTTCTGATTGATGACAGCAGTGCCCAGGCTAATAATAGGGACCATCCTTTCCTGGGTTTGCATTATCCCCATCAGGATATAAGCAAAGGATGTGTTCCAGCTCCCTGTCTTTTGCTTCCCCACACTGGCTGCTAGAGGCCCAGGAATGAAGAAAGGGAAGGGACCCTAGGTAGTATGTCATAGAACACCGAAACAGGAGGGAGAGGGAGAGAGATGGTTTGGAGCCCAGATACAAGTGTGACAGGAGCTTGTGCAGGGAAATGGCTTTGCTTTAGGGCATCCCAAAAGGGCCATCAGCTACTTGCTGTCCTTTCTCTGGTGATGGGAACAAATAATATTCAAGCTTGCTCAAGGAAGTTGGATTGATTCAGGGGCTAAGGCTTTTTATCTGTACCAGTTACCTGGATCTGAGCCTTAGAACTACATAGAGATATGTCTATGAGGGTGAAGATCAAGAGTGGGGTTGGGAGTTGCCTCTTTTTCAGTGTTCTGCCCTATGTGTCTGTTTGTCTATCTGTCTTCATATATCAATATGAGGCAGTCTATGAGCTCTATTAAATTTGTGCTCAACCACCACCACCCATGCCTGCCTCTGGGTTATTCTCTCCCCAGAATCATTTCTAGGAACACAAGGCTTTCTAAAACTAGGCGAGACCCATGGCCTGCCCCGTCCAGGCTTCTGATGCCAACAGAGGCCATCAGGGGATGAGCTATGAATGGAGAGAGTTTCAAGTATGCTTCTTAACCTTACTTTCAAAGGTCTGGTATATCTCAGCTTCTCTCAGTAACCATGCCTGGCTCTGGCATTCATCAGCGAGTCCAAAGCCTTTCTGAATACATTCTCACTTCCTGCCTCTCCTCTCTTGGGGGGCGGGAATGAAGTTCCTAAGCCAGCTGCATGGAGTAGTCATTGCAAAGCATTTATTGCCCCTTGACCTCTAGTCGTTCAGCAGATATTCATCTGTTGTCTTTAGGGTTTTAGCCCCTGTCTCCCAATTCATTAATGGTTTCTGAGAAAATATCATGTAGGAACAATGTAATAAGTGACTAATAGGTTGGACAATGTTGCAGGAGGATGCCTTTGATATTTAAAAAAATAATGTTATTGAGAAACATCGGCTGGGGCTTTGTTCAGGGAATATAGAAGTGGACAAGACACAGTCCCTGCCCACAAGGATCACAGAATCTAGTAGAGGATATGGGACAAATGTCTAACACAAAAGCCAGCAGTACAAGGCAGTAGGAGGAAATGCCAGAGTTATGTTCGATGTAAGATGTTGGACAATAAATGCTCTAGGAGATCAGTGAAGGCCAAGATAGTCAGGGAAGGCTTCCCAGAGGGGATGGGATGTACACTGGTACTTTGAAGGATGGCTGGAATTTGGGTTGGTGGGGAAAAGGATAAGATGGGCATTCAGGTAGGGAGGAGAGGGACCATGTAAGTGAAGGCAGTTATAGGAATAAATATGGTGTGTGCATGCCCAGTGAAGACACTTCCTAGACAAAAGTGGAGGAGTGTGTGTGTGTGTGTGTGTGTGTGTGTGTGTGTGTGTG